GTTGTGAGATACTCAGCTGGTGTTGCAGAAATGCTTGGTAAGGGGGAAAAAAATCCCATGACTCTGGTGACCAGAAGTGTTAGGAGTGAAGTAGAGTATTGTGTGTAGTGTAAAGGAAAACAATAGAGTTTTTCTTGCAGGAGTGTCCAGCCTTTTGGTGTCTCTGGGCCACACTGGAAGAGAGTTGTCTTGGGCCACACATTCCACATATTAAATACACAAACAGTAATGAAAACTGATGAGCAAAAAAGGGGTTTTAAGTAAATTTATGATTTTGTTTTGGGCCACATTTATAGCCATTCTAGGCGGTGGGTTGGACACCCTGCTACAGTCTCCATTCTGCTCCCTTGAAGTGTTCCTCCAGTCCATTGCTTTTCTCTTGGTTCTACCCCTGGATTCTTGCCTCAGCTCTTGGAAGGGCTCTTCATTTTCCATAAAAACTTTGCAACCGAGTAGCTGTTTCAGTTTTGTTTCCTACCTGTAAAACTTTGTTGGCTCAGAGGCCTCTTCATTTTGAACTGTCTCAGTCCTTCTTAGTCTAAAATGGCAGTGCTTCTACCATTAAAGGAAAAAAAAAAACCCAAACAACAAACACAAAACTTTCTGTGTTTCCTGTGAGATTTTTCTCTAAAGCCACATCTGTAATTTTTTTTTAAAGATTTTATTTTAGAAAGAAGGGAAGGGAGAGAGAAAGAAAAGGAGAGAAATATCGATGTGTGAGAGATATATCGAGCAATTGCCTCTCACACACCCTCAACTGGGGGCATGGCTTGCAACCCAGGCATGTGCCCTTGACTGGGAATCGAACTGGTGACCTTTCAGTTCTCAGTCCTGCACTCAATCCACTGAGACACACCAGCCAGGACTATAATTCTTTTTAAGACAGACTTCTCTCTACCTCAGGCGTAGTGGGCTGCTCTGAGTTAATGCCCTTGACATTCTTATATAGTAAATTTGCTTTGTATTTTTCTGAGGCATTCAAGGGTCTTTACACCCATACTTGTTTGATATTTGGTTTGATATTTATTTAGAGTTATTTCTTACTTTGAGAATTTTTGTTGATTAGAGAGACTAGAAATGTGAAACATTTTATTTTCCCATCCACACATCTTGGGCCCTTCATATTACCTTCCAATTTGACTTAATGAACCTGAACAATTCCTTTTTCAGTCTCTTCTCATCCCTTTCATATTCAGCTAAAAATGTAAAAGAGCTAGTTGACACATACAACTTTACAACTGGATATTTCTTTAGCCAGACCCACATTTTAATTACATACAGTTTTTATCTTCCAAGTTACTGCAGACAATACTTCAGCCAGTTATTTTGTGCCATCTTTTCAGACTCAGTAATAGTTTCCTCATTGTCTTCCAGTTTCCATAGTCTTCTTGCCAACTACTATCCCCTGCTTACCATGCAGTTTCAAAGCCAGTGCCACTTGTTTTAGATGTCTGTGTGACATCATTTCATTTTCATTATTGATTTCTCTATTAATTACCTATTTCCGAGTAACAAACCACCCAAAAGTTAGTGGCTAGAAACAATAATAATTTATTCTCACAGTTTTGTGGATTGATTGGGATATTTATCTTCTGGTTTCATGTAAACTCTTTCATATAATTTTATTCATTTGGTGGATTTGATTGAGGCTGAGCTCAGCAGGGACAGCTAGAACTCCTGGGTCCTTTCACATGGAATTTCATCGCAGAGTTTTTCACAGCATGGTGATCTCTGGGGAGCAAACGAAGAGTTCAAAGGCAGAAACTACTCGACTCACTAAAGCCTAAACTCTGGAACTCATACAATGTGAATTCTGCCCCATTCTGTTCATCAAAGCAAGTTAAAAAGCTAAACTAGATTCAAAAGAGTCAAGAAATATATTCCATATCTGGGTGGGAGGAGTAAAAATGTAATATTGCAGGGAGGCATGGATACTGAATGGGAAGAATCTGTGGTCAATTAAACAATATATAACAATATACACACAATATATAATGACCAGATAAGAGAGGTTCTTATGTTCATAAAACTAAAACAGGATACTATGGAAAAAACACAATCACATAATGTGAAAGAACTCTTGGACTTTGAAAAATGTAGAACAAAGGTACGATAAAATGGAAATTAAGAGAGAGAAGAAAATTAGATAGCAAATGTACATGATCCAACGTCCTACTAAAAGGTGTCCCAGAAAGAGAGAACAGAGAAGATGGGAAGGATACTATTAAAGAAATAGTATAGACAAATTTTCCCACAACTAAGGGCAAACTATCATTTAGGTATGAGGTTGGAATAACATAATTTGCAGACATTTCTACATTTAATAAATTTGCCTCCCATTCACTCTTTCATAGGAAATTATTAGGGGGTTACTCTTCATCAAAACGAGGGAAAAACAAAAAAAGGGCATAGGAGCCAGGAAACAGAGGTTCCAACACAAGAAAATGTCAGTGGAAAAGTGTAGTACAATGGTTGTGCATCCAGCTAACCAGGCCAGGTTGAAACAGCAGAAGAGAAGGATGTGGGAAAGTGATGACTCAAATCATTTGGTGTGTTTGAGAATTTAGAAATGGAAAAAGAAAACTCCTCTGAATATACCCCTACTTCCATCTTGATCTGTCAAAATGTTACTCTTCAAGGCTCTACTAAAATATCTGTTCTCCCAAGAAGTCACTTTGATCTCAATAGAGTGGCCCTTTCCTTTTGCTGAGTAACCATAATAATATGTAACTATCTTAAAATACATCTTATATCTGGAGTCATTGCAGCTGATTCCTTAACAACTTCACCACAGAAAATCAAACCAATTATTGTAATTCCATTATCCTTGCCACTGATTGATTTGTAAATATTGGGTTGCCCAAAAAGTCTGTTTAGGTTTTTTTTTTCTGTAAAATAAAAGACACATTTTTAAATTTTCACCAATAATTTGGATATTTTGGGTAGGTCGACTATCTCCTGCTATTGGCTTCCAGTGGGTAGAGGCCAGGGGTGCTGCTAAACATCTTCCAGTGCATAAGACAGCCCCACGGCAAAGAATTATTTGGCTAGAATGTCAATAGAACCATGAAACTTCACAAACCACTTTTGACGTGTTCAATCAGTCACAGCACCTTCTCCATACACTACACAAATGTTTTTTTGAGTTTCAATTACATTTTTATGTTTCTTGAAGTAGTAAAACATAATACACTGAATATGTTGCTTATTTTCTTCCATCTTCAATACTAAAATGGCTACACAAAAATTCTCCAATGTTAAGTTTTTTTTTAAAAAAACTTCATGCTGATATGACAGCTGTCACAATACAGTCTAACAAAATTGTTTTGAATGAAGTTGAAGACAACTAAGCACTGGTAGAGCCATTGTATGGAAAAGCTTAAATGAACTTTTTGGCCAGCCCAACAGGTGAGCAACTCAATCCTAACCAAGGAGATCTGAAGGGAAGTGTATTCTGATGGGAGGCTCCTGAGAAAACTTTCCTTGCTTCTAAGAAAGCGTCGCAGGAGGAAATGAGCCCTTGCTTGTGCTGTATATTGTTTGGTCTAGTGTTAATACCTGCAGTTGCTGACGCCATCTTGACCACAAGGGGAGTCAGCTTGAGGGCAGTGAGAATGGCAGAGTATAGTGATGAAGGGAGAACCTTTGTCACCCCCCGCCCCAATCAATAAATGTCTTTTATTGCATCTTTAAAATATTACAAGTAAGTCTGAGAAATCATCCAGTATCTTGCTGTTTTTGTAGCTGGACAATGTGAAGCTTTTTCATCAGCCTACTGAACTGTTCCTATTTCAGAAACATGGATGCCATCCCAAAATTTTCTGATATCCCTCTTTTTAACTGTTGAGGCTTGCTGAATCAAAGCAGCTGAATTTGATACCAGTTCAGTGCTGCTCTCTTCAGGAATCAACTCGTCTTTTTGGGCGTGAGATACTGAACAAGCAACACCTGACCTCACCTAAACCATGCAGATGTATTTTTCACTTAAGAAGTTTCTGATTTCAATAAGAGAACGATTCTCCTAAATAACAATCTTGATGGGGAAGTGAGCATACACAGACCTCATCTTGTAATGGAAGCCCAGTGTAACACTTTAAAAAAAAAAAAGATTTTATTTATTTATTTTTAGAGAGGGAAGAAAGGGAAAGAGGGAAACATCAATGTGTAGTTGCATCTTGCACACCCCCTGCTGGGGACCTGGCCTGCAGCCCAGGCATGTGCCCTGCACTGGGAATCAAAATGGCGACCCTTTGGTTCACAGGCCATTGTTCAATCCACTGAGCCAAACCAGCCAGGGCCCAGTGTAACATTTTTGATCATGGTCAGTACATGACTGCAAATAGTGCTAATGGTAGCCAGGGCCTTTCTATTTCCCCACCATTGATCAACCTTGAGCCTCTTCTTTTTCTGTCCAAGGAGACAGAGTTCTACATTGGTGAAAGTTGAAAAGGAAAGTCTTTGCCACCTAACTCATGCACTTTCTGAGTTGAAAAAAGTTAAGTGTCTTGGTTTTTAATAAAAAGCAGTTACCCCAGTCCTTTTCTTCCAACTTTGTTGGGTTTAAAGATTGCATTGTTATTAATTAATATCCACACCATCCTTACAAAATGCTTTATATCAAGGCAAAGTTTAGGAAGCGGAGTGTTTCTCTCAGCCTTGTCATAAAGCAATTAGTGAAGAGCTAAGTCTTGTCTGCAGCGTTAGGCACCCAGCCTGTAGGAGACAGGTGTTAGGGGCAGAAAATTTAGCACTTGAGGGTACCAGGGTAACAGACAAAGCCTCAGCCACAGAGAAATGAAGTTCAGTCATTTTTTCCTAAGTGCTTTGTGTTGCAAGATCAGAATAGGAGTAATTAGAAAACTTACTCATTGTTAAACCTGGAGGATTATTGGATACAGGTTGTTACATTATTACGGTAACTGTACTTTTACTTGAAAAACCTAGATAAATTTTTTTTTTAAAAGTCAAACCTTTTTGCATTACAGGAAATAAATGTTAATATGGACAATGATTTTAAGACCGACTCATCATTATCTAGCTTTGCTCTTCAAAGTTCTTCAGAGACATTGTTTTCTATTCAGCTATTAGATTTCAAAACGAGTTTACTGGAAGCATTAGAAGAGTTACGTATGAGAAGGGTAAGTATCTTTTTAAAATGATCTTTTAATCAGAGAACTTGGTTTGTCCAGTTTTTTTGTTTAATGAAAAAAAAAAGACCTAGCAAAATAACCTCTTGTTTAGAAAGAAGAAATACAGTTCAAATAAGGAATCAAAAGAGAAAGCGTAGATATAGTTGACATCAAGGAATGGGGAAGGAGAATTTATAAACTAAACCAAAAAAAACAAAACCCACCAGATATCCAGATTGTTAAATACTTGATAAATCAGCTAATATTTATTGAGTTCCTTGGAATGCATAAATTGCACTACAGTTAGACACTGTGGCTAATTAAAAAACTTTTTGAGTAGAATACATTTTTGTTAAGGTTATGAGTTGGGTATGCCTATGAAATGATTAAATAGTGAAATCAGACAATACATGATTAAATGACAAAATAAGTGTATGTAGTAACTATTCAGAGTTCAAAGAATAAAATATTCTTAGTTTTAAAGTGATACCCCTGAGATTTTTAGAAAGGAGAAATTTAATACAAAATTGTAAAAGATGTTTCAACAGAAGCTCTATATTATTTAAAACTCCTCAAAAGCATTTCATTTCTGAGACTCTCTGGATATAAACTTAAAGAGTATATTGTCAACCCTCTAAGACAGTTTGGAGTTTGTAAATTTTAAAGAGAAGAAAATAAACTCAAACTATTGTAATGATCTAGGGATGAGGTCACTAGGACTTCTGTATGAAGATACAGCAGTAGAGACACAAAGAAGAATCAGTAGAATTTGGTGACTTCCTGAAGATGAGCTATAAGTGAGGGAAAAAAAGATTTGAAACACTTTCATTATGCGACCCTTGTTCTAGGGTTTAAAAATATTGAAATTTGTTATTGTAATAAGAAAACTTAATTAACTGCAATGTTGATCCTGTCTAAAGCTACTTATTAGCAAAATGACAAAAGTCTTTAACAAGAAGTGGTGCTGCTAAAAAAGCGCATGTCTGGATAAGCATGAAAAAAAATCAATTTTTGTAAAATTAGTTTAAAATGGTATATCTTTTTGAAGTAAAGCAAGTTTGGGTAACTTTAAAACTTTATATTCTGTTTTATTATGTTGCAAACATTATATTTTGGATGTTTATATTCCAACTTGAAAAATAAGCTTCCTTTAAAAATCCTTTGAAAAATTTCAGGGTAGCAACAGGAACAGTATTTTAAATAATCAAATACAGGTGCATACACTACTTTTAATAACATCCATCATTTAAAGGAGAACTTTATTCTTAAAAAGGGGATAAATTTTCTCTTTTAATGGAAAAAGATAGTCATTGATTTTCACATTTACCACAATGAAAACACTTTATCCATATTGTTGGATTTTAATTTTTTCCTCCATATTTTATTAGGAAAATTCTAAAAATACATAATAGTTAAAAGAATTTCACAGGTAACACCCATATACCCACTATGGTAAGCAGAATAATGGCACCTCAGTTATGCCTGCATCTTAATCCTCAGAACTCTGAATATATTACCTTACACAACAAAAGGGACTTTGCAAATATGATAAAGTTATGAATTTTGATATGGATTATGCTGAATTATTCAGGTGCACCCAGTGCGTTCACAGGGTTCTTATAAGAGGAAGGAAGGATTATCAGAATCAGAGAAAAAGATGTGATAATAGAAGTAGGAACATGGTCACAGAGAAAGTTGAAGATGTTATGCTGATGGCTTTGAAGATGGAGAATGGAACCATGAGTAAAAGAATGCAGGTGGAAGCTTGAATAGGTGAGGAATTCTCCCTTAGAGACTTCAGAAAGTACCTGACCCAGACAACACATTGACTTTAGCTCAGTAAGAACATTTACCCCTGGCCAGTGTGGCTCAGTTCGTTGGAGCGTTGTCCTGTACACTGAAAGGCTGTGAGTTTGATTTCCAGTCTGGTCACATACCTAGGTTGCAGGTTTGATCCCCAGTCAGGGTGCATATGGGAGATAACTGATTGATATTTCTCTCTTTCTCAAAGCAATTAAAAAATATCCTTGGGTGAAGATTAAAAAAAAAATTTTAGACTTTTGACTTCAGAATTGTAACACTTAACTTTGAGTTGCTTTAAGACAATAAATTTTTTGTAATTTGTTACAGCAGCAATTGGGAATCTAATACACCCACTACCTAGAGTTTATGCTTGATCTTGTATATATCCTTCTATATTTGGTCTTATTTTTTTTTATTCAGTTCAATTTAAGTTTAAAATTAGTGTGCTTCAGTGTGCATATCATTGACTAGAATTCAATATTTCTTTATGTATTTTTCTTTTAATATAAAATGCAATGAAACATATAGTTCTTAAGTGTACCATTTCATGAGTTTTAATAAATGCACACAGCTGCGTAGCCCCAACCCTTGTCAAGGTACAGAATGTTACTTTTACCTGCAGAAAGTTTCTTCATGTCTCTACTTACTTATTCCTCAGCTTTATCCATTCAGAGGTAACCATTGTTCCTAGTTTTCCATGGATTAGTTTACCTCTGTTGTAGAAATGCATATAAATGGAATCATGTAATATTTTTTTGTGTATAAGTTTTCTTTTATTCAGCATATTTTTGAGATTCATTCATGTTGATCGGTAGTTTGTCCTTTTTTTATCGTTGAATAATATTCCATTGTATAAATCTAACAGTTTGTTCTTTTCATTAACCTATTGATGGACTTCTATGTGACTTCCAGTTGTTGATTATTATATATAAAGCTACTATGAATATTTTTGTACAAAATGCTATGCAGGCATGGACGACACAGCCAAGTAAGAACACATCTTATTTGGAACTGTTTATGAGATATTCATTACTTTGCATGCCCGCTCTGATCTCCCAAATGTTCAGTGAAAATTTTTAATATTTCCCCTTAGTAGTTTTGAAAAGATATTTTTATTTAGCATTTAAAAAGAAAAGCAAAAAATTTTAAGATCTAATCAACCTAATAATAATTATATTTAATTTGTTAAGCTAAAAAAGCTAGAAACTAAAATATTGAAACAGTTATTAATGAGCTTAGATAGGCTTGATTCTTAGGTCCTTGCTTTGTTTAGGAGGTAAAGATACTGATCAACTAAAGACTTTGTTTACTTATATATGTATATTAAATTTCCAGGATAATCAGTAAATAAATAATATTAGGGTTATAGTCCTCCCAAATAATAGAGAGAAAATACATAATTGTTTAAATTATTTTGTGTTTGATGGTTCAAATAGCCTTAAAAAAGAGTAATCTTAGGTCTTAGCTGTTGTCTGAGCTTTATTTATCTTGGTAAAAAATGTTGAAGCCATTTTCTGTATGTTCCAGAAACTGGCCTGGATAGTCTATATTTTCCTAGTGAGTTTTAATACTGAAAGATCTGTTAAAAGTAAACTCAGGGCTTTTGTTCTTACTTTCTTTCTTTTTTTTTTTTTTTGCCAGAAACTGTCCTTATTTTTCTATGGAATTGTATATTGACATTTATGTTCTGTCAGTACTTTGAAGCTATGGAATTTTTTGTTGCTATTGAAAAGTTTGGTGTTAATATACTCTTTTTGCACATAATTCATTATTTCTATTTGTTACTAAGATCTTCTTTTTATCTTTAATGATCTCCAGTTTTAATGAGTCTAGGTGTGAATATGTTATGTTTCTTGGTATTCATTCTGGTTCCTGAATCTTAGGAAAATTTTTAGCTGTGATCTTTTTGAGCATTGCCTCTCACTTATTTTCTCTGTTACCTTGTTCTGGAACTCCCATTAGATAGCATATTGGATCATATCATTCTATCTTTTATGACTGTTAACTCTTTTATATTTTTTATATTTTTCATTTGCCTCTTTATTGCATGTGTAATTCATTTTGTCGTTTCCTAATTGTCTTTTCAGATGATTTTACTTGCTGTCTAATCTTGCTGAGAGTTTTTAACGTCAATGATTACATTTTCATTTCTAGTGGTTTCTTGAAAGGATCTGCTATGGTCTGAATATTTGTGTTTCCCCAAAATACATATATTGAAACCTAATGTCCAATGTGATAGAATTAGTAGGTGAGGTCTTTGGGAGGTGGTTAGGTCATGAGGCCCAGTAGAGCTCTAGCCCTCTTTGCTGTGTGAGGTTATGAACTGAGAGGCTGCTCTCAGTGGACACAGAACCTGACCATATGGGCACCCTGATCTCAGACCTGCAGTCTTTAGAACCACGAGAGATAAGTTTCTGTTGTTTATATGCAACCTATTCTATGGCATTTTGTTTTAGCAGCCTGAACAGACTAATTAAGACAAGATCCAAAAATTTAGCTCTGTGCCAATAAAAATCCAGAGAGATGTTTTTTAGAATTTGGCAAGATGATTCTAAAGTTATATGTGTATAAGAAAAATATCTGAATATACACATATTAAATTGTGTTGTATACCTTAAACTAATACAGTGTTGTATATAAATTATAGCTCAATAAGACTTGAAAAAAATGTATGAATATAGACAAGAAAATTTCAAAAGAATGAGTTACAACTTGCTCTATCAGATATTAAAAGATGCTCCAATGCTATAATAATAAAAAATGTGATATTGTTGTAGGTCTAAATAGATCAGTGAAAGAAATTAATCCAGTCGGGGAAAGGAAGGAAGTCAGTAGGTGACACTTAGACAATTTATATATACTTCATACACAAAAATGAAATTCTGGAAAAAAATGCAAAGAAAAAGATACAAATACTAGACACTATAAGAAATAATTTTATAGTTTTTGGAACAGAGAGTACCTTTCCTTAAGGAAAAGATGGCTAGACATGATGATACACAAATTATTATTTTCTATGGGATTAAAGCTATCATAAACAAAGTTAAGCAAATGTGAGAATATATTTGCAACATGCAAAATGGAAAATTAGGACCAATGTCTTACTTACAAATCATTTCTACAAATCAAGACAAACCAACAGAAAAGTGGAAAGAATACAGCAATCATAAAATATATAAAAATATGCTTAACTCTGCTACTGACAA